AGTAACATCAATTATAGGGCAATTTTAAAAAGAATGAACATAAAGTGAAAATGAAGTTTTTACTCCCTTTGCTTTTATTACACATCACAGTATAAAATAATCTAAGGGAAAATTATGTTACACTCTCTTATATTAATCAATTTAGAGCACATATGTGATCTAGTTTTGTTCTCACAATCCACTGGAATGACTTATGGTTTACTTTTATAATATAATTATATTTAGTAAACAAAATCACCAAAATGCTGGTGTAGTGAAAGCAGAGCACCAGGGTATATTTTGGCTTTTCTTTTGGTGACTTTGATGACTTCGTAAGCCAGAAACCAAGCTACTGCTGGCAATTTCAAATGGCCATGTATTTGCCATGTATGAAATTGTAGAATTTGGCATCTCTTTGACTTTTTTTTTTTAAAATGTGCATATTAAAAAACCTGCTTTCCTTGACATGGTGGACAACAGCAGTTGCTGTCTGGTGTGGCCACAGTGGAGAGAGCTTGGCTTTCTCACGGCTGGCAGGGGGTCACTTCCTCCTCCGGGGCTCCCTTCTGGGCTTTCCATCTCCGCTGTGCTAAGCAGTTGGTCCCTTACCTCTCTCGCCTTGACCTAGCCACTGTGATCCATACAACGGTCACCTCCAGGCTTGATTATTGTAACTCACTCTACGTGGGGCTGCCCTCAAAACTGACCCAGAAACTCCAGTGGGCGCAGAATGCCGTGGCGAGACTCCTTACAGGGTCTTCGCCATAGGATCACATTCATCCAGTGCTATACCAGCTGCACTGGCCCCCGGTGGGGTACAGGATCAGGTTTAAGGTGCTGGTTTTAACCTTTAAAGCCTTATACAGCCTAGGACCCTCATACCTACAGGACCGTCTCTCCTGGTATGCCCCACAGAGGACTTTGCGGTCTGCAAATAATAACACCTTGGAAATCCCAGGCCTCAGAGATTAGGCTGGCCTTGACCAGGGCCAGGGGCTTTTTAGAATCATAGAATCATAGAGTTGGAAGAGACCACAAGGGCCATCGAGTCCAACCCCCTGCCAAGCAGGGCCTGGTGGAATGCTCTGCCACAAGAGATCAGGGCCCTGTGGGATTTGACATCTTTCCGCAGGGCCTGCAAGATGGAGTTGTTCTGCCAGGCCTTTGGTCAGGGCTCAGCCTGCCTCTCCTTTTCTTTTGTATAAGACCTAATATGAAAGAGGCCTCCCAGCATTCTCACAGGCCCATATAAGCCCAAGCGTAATCACTTGGGCTAATGAGCACTTACTATTCCCAACCCTAACCCTGTGGAAAGCCATCTAATTAGACTTTAATTTGATTCTGACCTGTTTTTAGGAGGTAATTTAATTTTTGTTTGATTTTATACTAATGTTATATATCTGATCTTAGCCACCCTGAGCCTGACTTCAGCTGGGGAGGGTGGGATATAATTAAAAGTATTATTATTATTATTATTATTATTATTATTATTATTATTATTAAAATTGTGAGCAAGCAGGGGGCACAGTTTGGGAGTAGACCACAGGGAATACTTCTTCCCTCTGGTCTGCTCCCTGGCTATAAAAGTCAGCCGTGCTCAAGCTCCAGTCTCAGTTCTCTTTGGATTCCCCTCCATCACTCCCTTCCTCCTCTTTTCCTATGCTTATGCAGGCAGACCTGTATGTGAGACCTTGTTATGGAAGTTCTTTGGACACTGTATTTAGGGCCAGGAAGAATTTGCCTGCAGACTAACTGGCCTGTCTGAAGTGACAGTGACTTGCAGTTCCCTCATAGGCCCAGTGAAGCAAAGCTGGAGGGCTCCTGCCTCCTCTGGGAGGGCCATTGATTTTTCTGTTTCTGACCTATCCTGGGTGATTTTCTTTTATGCATCTGTGATGGACAGCTGAGCCAGACCAGAGTCTGGTGATGCAGTGACTTGGAATTCCACCAGAGGGTGGAACCTCTCTCTGATTGGCTACCAAGACGGGCGGGGGGGGGGAATAAAAGGAGCTGTTTCTGAGAGAGAGTTCAGAGAGGGAGATGGATGAAGAAAGAGAAGGAGAGTTGGTTCTGATCTGTGTGTCACATCCACTATGAGGAAAATGTCTACAGTTAGACAAAGGAGTCTCTGAGCTTAGATTGGAATACAGTGTTTAGTATCTTGGGAGAGTATTGAGACAGGGGTTAACTGGAGGGCTGAGTTTGAGCAAGGAGAAGCTGTGTGGATACAGTCTACTTGTGTCTCATTTCATTCAGGAGAGCAGAGATCTTCTAAAAGAGAAGACTCCCAAACCAGTTAAGGGATGGTGTGGTGAATCCCTTGGTCTGTTATACTTTTCAAAAGACTTCACACGTGTGATTGATATATGGTTGGGAAACAGACAGGATGTGCCACCTTGCTTGAGAACCAAAGTCTTAAGGCATAACACCTATGCAACAACTAAGTTAAGGAACTGAAGTGAAATAGCTGGAAATAAGCTGAACATTTACTGTCCTGTCTAGACACCTGTAACATCTAACTCAAAATAAGTAACTGAAGGTTAAAATAAGCCAAGCATTTACTACCTCGTTTAGAAACCAGTAACATCCACTAGATTTAGTAAAATTATTAATAAGTTAACTGTTTTCTGAAATAACGTTATCTCTTGACACATCCTTTGTTTTATCAGTTTTTATTTGTTCAACTTCTACCTGAGTCTCCAAGTGTCAAAGTTTTACCTCATGCAAAAAAACCACCTCATTTTGGTGGTTATAGCATGTATGCATAGGTGGGATCCACAATTGGTAGCCAGATCTTCTGCATTTGGGTGAGAGTGGTGGGATCCACTACTACATGATGTCGCAACAGTTGCACCCACTTCTTGCTGTCTACTTCATTGCCAAAGCCCATCACTCAAGATCACCCACATGGAATGTAATCTAGACTAACCTTGACTGCCGCTACGGTTCCTCCATTTGAGCCATGGCAGTTGGTTAGAGTATGGTGCTGATAACACCAAGCTTGCGGATTTGATTCCCCATATGGGATGGCTGCATATTCCTGCAGTGCAGGGGGTTGGACTCCAGGAGTCAGCAAACTTTTTCAGCAGGAGGCCGGTCCACTGTCCCTCAGACCTTGTGGGTGGCCAGACTATATTGGGGGGGGGGGGATGAATTAATTCCTATGCCCCACAAAAAATCCAGAGATGCATTTTAAATAAAAGGACACATTCTACTCATGTAAAAACATGCTGATTCCTGGACCATCCACGGGCCGGATTTAGAAGGTAATTGGGCCGGATCTGGCCCCCGGGCCTTAGTTTGCCTACCCATGGGCTAGACGATCCTCAGGGTACCTTCCAACTCTATAATTCTATGATCACTTCCAGGTCATCCTGCACGTTGGCAGCACCCAGAGATGATGGTGGATTTCAGTGGCTGTAGCCAAGCTGGTTTGGCTCTTCTGTAATATAGGGTCACACAGGTGCTTCGTATAGCAACCACTACAGAGAGTGTTAACATAATTAAGGTTTGCAGGATTTGTTTCCATGTTTCCTCTGATAATGCCTTGTCACACTGCTTTTTAATTAATTACTTCAAGGTCACCCTATTTATTTAAAAGGTAAATAATATTTAATGAGTTTTCTGCTAGTGGCAAGGCTTAATTGAAGGCTGTTAAAAGAATAGAGCACTTAATAGGAACAACCTAACCTTCTCCTACATGCCTTGGGTACCAACACATACTTGCAAAGGGTAGTGCAGGGAGGGAGCTTAAAGCCAGTATCTTCAATGGAACCTGCAATGATGATAATTTGAAGAGAAATATCACATTCATTGAACATTCAGAAAAGGCTGCAATGTACTAAATTTGGGCTTGGAAATTACTGATCTGAACAAGGTCAGATGAATTTATTTAATAATGTATCCCGCACTCCCTGTGCTCAGAAAGGACTTGCAGCAGTAAGAACAGTAGCCTACACATGAGGAAGAGTTAACAAACACCAAGCTTTGTCTGCCATGGAAACCTCAGCATCTGAGATGTAAGCAAGACTTGGTTTTTGAAATACTGACAGCCATGTTTTCATTAAAATGATAATGCAAAGGAAAAAAGCTAGTCTTTGAAAGCATATTTCTTCAAATGAGTGAAGCTTTCCTGTAAAAGATTAGAGCACCAAATGCAGCATGAAAAGGTTTGACTAATTAGTGCACGGTTCCAAAAGTGGGCAAAACTGAAGATGCAGGAGACACATCTGCTGATCCAGAAGGGAGAGACCTATAGAGACATTTATCTCTAGGCAGAAAATGGCAAACTGATCTAAAGGCTGGCTACTTCGGAGGTGGGCAAAGCATTCCACAAGCAGTCTTCACTGCTCAGCTTTCTATAAGATTATGAAAAGGATGAGGAAAACATTGTTGGTGTCATGAAGCAGTGTCTACATGTTTTCCCAAATGGATATGGAATATGGTTAGAAGGGACCAGTTGGTAAGAGGTATACAGGTCGGAGCCAAACAGTACAAATTGAGAGCATTTGCAGATGACTTAGTATTGATGTTACAGGAGCCAGAATCTAGTACTAAAAGGGTTTTAGAACTGATTCAAGAATTCGGTCAAGTAGCAGGATTTAAATTGAACAAGTCAAAAACTAAGGTTTTAGAGAAAAATCTAACATCGTTTGAAAGAGAGAGGTTTCAGAATGAGACAGGTTTAACAGTGGTTAAGAAAGTTAAATACCTGGGGATTAACATGACAGCAAAAAATGGGAATTTATTTAAAGACAACTATGAAAAATGTTGGGCTGAAGTGAAAAAAGATTTAGAAATTTGGTCAAATTTGAAGCTTTTACTGCTGGGCCGTATGGCTGCGATAAAAATGAATGTATTGCCTAGAATGTTGTTTTTGTTTCAAACTTTGCAAATTGTGGACAGGATGGATTGTTTCAAGAGGTGGCAGAAAGATATTTCTAGATTTGTCTGGCAGGGCAAGAAGCCCAGAATAAAATTTAAAATACTAACGGATGCAAAGGAAAGAGGTGGATTCGCCCTGCCAGACCTTAAACTTTACTATGAATCAGCAGCTTTTTGCTGGTTGAAAGAATGGCTACTTCTTGAAAACACTGACATTTTGGACTTAGAAGGTTTTAACAATGTATTTGGATGGCATGCATATCTATGGTACGATAAGGTCAAAGCACATAAAGCATTTAAAAACCATATTGTCAGGAAAGCGCTGTTTAATGTTTGGATAAGATATAAGGATTTGTTAGAAAACAAAACCCCAAGGTGGCTGTCACCAATGGAAGCGAAAGCCTTGAAAAAGCTCAATATGGAGGTCAATTGGCCGAAATATTGGGAAATTTTGGAACAAGATGGAGATAGACTGAAATTGCAGAGCTTTGAAAAACTGAAAAACAAAGTGCGAGACTGGCTTCATTATTTTCAGATAATGGAGGCATTTAAATTGGACAAGAAAATTGGCTTCCAGGTGGAAAGATCAAAATTAGAAACTGAACTGTTAGAACCCAAAACCAAGAATTTGTCAAGAATGTATAACTTGCTGCTGAAATGGAACACTCAGGATGAAACGGTAAAATCGGCTATGATTAAATGGGCACAAGACGTTGGACATAACATTATGTTTGTTGACTGGGAACAGTTGTGGACCACAGGTATGAAATTTACGGCATGTAATGCCTTAAGAGAGAATATTATGAAAATGATATACAGGTGGTACATAACCCCAGTCAAGCTTGCAAAAATCTATCACTTGCCCGATAATAAATGTTGGAAATGTAAAGAAATTGAAGGTACATTTTTTTCGCCTTTGGTGGACGTGCCCAAAGATTAAGGCTTTCTGGGAAATGATATATAATGAATTAAAAGGTATTCAAATATACCTTCCCCAAGAAACCAGAGGCCTTTCTCTTGGGCATGGTCGGCCAAATGGTGATAAAAAAGGATAGAACTTTCTTTATGTATGCAACAACAGCAGCAAGAATACTCATTGCAAAGTATTGGAAGACACAAGAACTTCCCACGCTGGAGGAATGGCAGATGAAACTGATGGACTATATGGAACTGGCGGAAATGACTGGTAGAATCCGTGACCAGGGAGAAGAGTCGGTGGAGGAAGATTGGAAGAAATTCAAAGATTATTTACAGAAACACTGCAAAATTAAAGAATGCTAGAGTGATGTTGGATTGAAAATAAGTGGTTTCCAGCTGTACAGGATTTAAAGTTATAGATAGACTAAGATTAAAGATTAGGATTAAAGAAGTTTAAGGAAATGGAAATTTGGTATTTAAGAGGTAAAATTTTAATGCTATATTATATTAAGATTAAAGATGGGGATTAAAAAAAGTGGGAAAGAAATTGCTGGACAAACAATTTGAACTGGAATACAAAAGAGGGAGGTATGAGGAGGTCCAGAAAATAAGTAAATTTAAAAATGGAAATGAAAAGGTGATATTGTTTTTAAATGTTCTGTTTCTTTTCTTTTTCTTTTTTTCTTTTTTGTTTTCTGTGCTTGTTTCTTTTTTGGATTATGTATTGTGTATTGTGTATTTGTGTATTTCTTTTTTATGTTTTTTCTGTTTAACTTTTTACTGAAACCTTAATAAAAATCATTAAAAAAAAAAAAAGGAATATTCAGGGCCTCCTTCTCAGCATCACCACCACAGACTACAAGAAACACCAGCCTCCTAAATTCTGCCACACACTGCCTTAACCTTGAGCCCTATGTTTTCCACTTACTGATAGCATTCACCTCTCTCTTCAGCTAAACCAGAGAGGGCCTTTGTTGCAAAGGTGTTGGTTCTGTGGTCTATCAGTTCCCAAAGGAAATGTGAACTAGCAACAGGGAACTCGGCAACCACAGAGACTAATGATCAGAGTGGTTGTAAAAAAAAGATGTAGTGCTGGTGATAAGCACCTCTGAAACTGGCACAAGGAGCCCACACAGTCTCTCCAAAATACTGAGCTCTATAATATTGTGTGTTTTTATGTAAGCATTAGTGGTTGGCGGACTGAGGCTGCTCTGCTTACTTGACCTCCTAGCATGGGAGTCCCTGTGGAATACCAGGAGGGAGAGAGAGATGAGCAAGGTGGCAGCAAATGAACCAGTAGAGCCAATCTAGCACTCCCAACCAGTGCATCTGCCCTGTGCCAACCTTGCTGACACCTCACCTCTGCTACTCTAACTCCCAGTAATCTGCAGTGACTCTGTTACCAGGCCAGGTAAGCAGCAGAGCCCCACCCCAACAGCCACTACAGTACGCAATTATGTATTAATATTAATTAATGTCAATTACACAGTGCAAATTAATTACGTCATATTAACATAGTGCACTGAAACTAGGTGCCTGCAAAGTGCAAATTTCCAAATGGCTTATAGAAGTGAGCCAAGCTTCACCTAAATGAAATGGCAAAAACCTCAAATGGCTAGTCTGATTTATGGGGGGAAATTGCTTGCTTGTAAATACTGAAACTGGTGAGCGGGAATTAGAGGCGGTGCTAAACTTTACAAAATGAACTTTAGTTTTCCCTCCTGCTGTTTCACTGGATCTACCTATGTGGAGTACCATATTTTTCGCTCCATAAGACGCACTTTTTCCCTCCTAAAAAGTAAGGGGAAATGTGTGTGCGTCTTATGGAGCGAGTGCAGGGGGGAGGCAGGCAGGAAAAGCCCCTAAGCTCGCTGTCTTGGCTTCTTTGCTCTTTAGGGCTGGGGGGGGGGAACAATATTTTTTTCTTGATTTCCCCCTCTAAAAACTAGGTGCGCCTTATGGTCCGGTGCGCCTTATGGAGCGAAAAATACGGTATTTTTTATTGTGAGACTTTTAAGGAACATGGAACCCAGATATGTGATTTACATCTGCTAGTGGCTATCCTAAATTACTAGGATTTGGTAAGTGAATAAATAATGATTATATCCCAGAGGAAGAGTGAAAGTGCATCCAAGAGCTTTGGTCGAACTCTATCTAGACCACTTACCCTTTCTCTCTGGAGCATGGAATGTTTGGGAGTTATCTGGCTTGTTCAAAATAAGCATGAATTACCCCACTGTACACAGCACTGTGAAATATGTCTATTCCCTACTCTACTTCCTAAACCTTACATGATGCTCTGATATATGGCCTTCTCACCAAAGGACTGGGAATGAGATTCAGTTTCTTAGTTCTATTATGTGCTACCATAATATTCTTCCTTGTTCCTAGAAAGAATAAAAACTTGAAGAATAACCCTGTCTCATCCCCTAAATTAGAGCCATCTTGATGTGCCATGAGCAGAATCAAATTAATTTGTCATTCTTTGGAAAATCAGTGAAATATATTCTCTTTTCAAATTCTCATACGTCTGCTGTGTTTTATATGTTTTCTGTAGCATATTACAGAATATGCAGAGTCTTTGGGGACTCTTAATAAGTGCAAAAGTCTAGCAAATTCGGTTTAGGGTAACCTATGATATTAATTAGCTCTCAGTTGTACTTTTAATCCCCTAAAAAAAAAGGGTGAGCAGCTCATTTTTGTTATACTCTTACCTTGTTTTATTTTACACTTCTTTATGTATTTATGCTTTAAAATATGTTTTAGAAAGAAAGGTGTATAACCGAACTATTTATGTAATTATATATTATGTTTGACCATTTCAGAGCATCCATGCAAAACACAGACACACATGAGAGATCAAGTTACACAAAACTTTGGAAAAGCAGAGCAAAGTGCTTTTTCTGCAGTGTTTCTGAAACTTAGAGCATATTGCTGTGCCATTTTGTCAAACAGACCAGGACAGTGTTCATGCACAAATGTAGCCTCAGTGTTTTTTTAATGTGAACCAGATTATTAGATAGAGATCTTGTGAGACAGTACAATTTCTCGAAAAATCACTGGTAATCTATATGTTATTTGTTCACAGTGTCTTGAGAGAGGGAAAACACACACTTTCCTTTACTCAGTGAATGCCCTTCATTTATAAGGAAGGGAAGAGCCATAGCTTGGTGGTACAACACACATGATTTGCCTTCAAATGGTCAGTGGCATTTCCAGGCAAGTCTGTGCCTGAAACCCTTGACAGCCACTACCAGTCAGAATAGACAGACAATACTGAGTTAGATGGACCAGTGGTCTAACTAGATATAAGGCAAGCTTCCTATGTCCTTATAACTACATTTCCATGGGGGAATGACACTCTGTGCAGAGCATATGCATTCTTTTCATTGCCTCTACCTTGGCATGTGTTGGCGGTCAGCCATGGCCAGGATGTGCTCAGGTGCCATGCGCATTGGCGAAGCCTGTGATAAGTGCTCCATATGATCTTTCTTAGAGCTTGTCCCTAAATCCATTCTCCAGTACTGGTGTAGTGCAAACAAATAATCTTCTTTTTGAGAAATTATTTTCTAATACAAGCACTCCAGTGCCCACGAAGATTAATAAATAGTACACCCATCACCTTTCAGTTATCTGTTTGAAAGTTCTGATTCATTATTTAATTTCCATTTTATCAAGAATTTTCTGTGCCAACCAAAATTGAAAAATGTTGTTGTGATGATATTGTGTTTATGTTGGCAGTCAGCACGTTCAAAATGGCAAAAAGTGATAATATTTGCTTGCTATTTTTGTCTTAAGCTTTAAAAAGATTGATTCTGTTCGCAAACAGAAGGGAGAGTACATTCTATTTTTCTTCCACTTCAAAAATAATGGGGGATATATTTAGCTCTTACCAAACAAACATTATTTTAATCCTATTCATATAAGCCTTTCACAGTGTTTATGGACTCAGAAGTATTCTGTGTCTTGTCGTGTTTCATATTTTTGAGGGAGGGAAAGAATTTTCATTTGAGATTGGCTATCCTTGTAAAATTGTGATTAAATGCTTTTTTAAAAAAGGCTTGAACCTTAAGTCTCCGACTTCGGCACAGATGTGGAAGAAGACAAAGAGGACCTCAGCACAAAAAAAGAAGGACCACCCCCAGATGTGAGATGCCCCAAAGACTTAAGTGAGTGGTGAAAAGACGCTCCACTATTTAAAGCCGATAATCCCTGAATCCTAGATCAAGAGCATATAAAAAAGCTCAAGAAAAAATCTTAAGACTGAAACTCCAAGCAAATTATTCAATTATTAGTCCTCGATACAATCCACTGGACAAGAGGTGCACCTAAGTTATGTTGAAATCAAAGTATAATCCTTCCCTCTTTTTTTAGAAAAAATATTTACGATAATCATTATATGGAAAATTCAGAGTAATGAAATAGCAACAACCACCACACATTCAGGATTACTCATTTATAGAATTTCCAAAACACAACACATCCAGATAAAACACAACCCACTTAACTACCCCTGTAAGATGGGTGAGACACAGAGAAGTGGAGAAAAAAGATTGCTCTTAGATCATTCCTAGTATATCATGGAACATAAGACCATAAAGAAGGCTGATCGCTGAAGAATTGATGCTTTTGAATTATGGTGCTGGAGGAGACTCTTGAGAGTCCCATGGACTGCAAGAAGATCAAACCTATCCATTCTGAAGGAAATCAGCCCTGAGTGCTCACTGGAAGGACAGATCATGAAGTTGAGGCTCCAATACTTTGGCCACCTCATGAGAAGAGAAGACTCCCTGGAAAAGACCCTGATGTTGGGAAAGATGGAGGGCACAAGGAGAAGGGGACAACAGAGGATGAGATGGTTGGACAGTGTTCTCGAAGCTACTAACATGAGTTTGACCAAACTGTGGGAGGCAGTGGAAGACAGAAGTGCCTGGCGTGGTCTGGTCCATGAGGTCACAAAGAGTCGGACACGACTAAACAACAACAGTATATCATACATCTTCATCACATCCTGTGTTGTTTTCTGGTATTTTTCCAATACCAGAAAAACAAATTCCACAGTTGAGCAGCTGTCAATAAGTGTATGATTATTCTCTATCATCAGGATGAATGACACCTTTCACATATCCAAAGAGAATGGTTAAATGGTCAGGAGACAATTTGTATCTAGTGATTTTTGCAATTTCATTTACTATTTGAGCCCAGAAATGCCTGATTTTTGGACATGCCCAGAATATGTGGCTCAAATTAGTGCAACCCAGAACACCTCTCTTGCACTTGTCTATCATGCTATTGCATATTTGACTTGGAACTTACGTACAAGTACAAGTCTGCAGTAGGTTGAAGATGGATAAGGATTTAACTGTGCCCAAGGTCTTTCTATGCTTATGAAAGGTGCTTTGCACCCACTTTTGGACAATTTCCCACTCCTCCAGGAGACTCCTGGTCTCCATCTCATATTGCTGTCAAGGGTTTCCTGATTCTAAGGAGAGGCTTGGGAGGGTCACAGGGGAATGAAAAGAAAAGTCAGTGGGACATTTCCTTCCACAAGGCTTCCTTCTGCTTACACTAGCTCTGGATGCAACCCTATGGTTGCAAGCTGTTTTGGGGCTTCATATGTAAACAGGAAAGTGAATGTAAACACATTTACATAAACAACAATGTGTGTGTGGAAACTGAATGAGTCGACACCAGCAATTGTGATGCTAAACTTAGCTATATCCCAAAGTAAATCTAAAACCCTTTTTTGGGATGATGCTTTTTATGATATAAAATGTACATTGGTCCTGT